TGCCTATGCAATAGCATCACATATTTACTCGACATAACCTAAGTCATATTGGCCAAGGCTTGTTCTCACCCAAACAAAAGTGTTTTTCTCCGATACCAAGAAAAAGATCCATTGTGACCCAGACACTATGTAGTTATAACCTAAACAATTAGAACCATGAACCTTATACCTACTTTTGTGCTAAAAGAATGTTATTGTCTTGTCTGTTAAAAGCAACTGGAAAATTCCCTTGACAGAAAAGACAAGAGGCCTTCTATATACCAGGCCTTCATTATATTCCAATAAAAAGTTAGATCTCTAATCAACCTATAAAAACCAGAGGAATATGAAAAAGCAAAAAACAGAGAAAAAATCTATATAGTCCCATCTCTACTACAAGCCCCACCTACCTCACAGGGTGTCTGTTGTGGGGAGGGGAAGGGGAAGGAGTTTGTAAGCCGCTCTGAGACTCCTTCGGGTAGTGAAGGGCGGGGTATAAACCCAATCTCTTCTTCTTCTTCATACAGCATTCTGTGGGCTGCTAGCCCATCTGTAATAGGCATATTGCCAAAGATTCTATGTTGCTGCCTTATGAAGAATCCTGACAGAAAGCAGTATTTACTAGGGGGCCATGTTTGAAATGTTCTAGGTCAGAGCGTAAGGAAAGGAAGAATTTAGCCTGGGAGGCTGTTTCAAGGAACCCCACCCCCCCCTTAACTCTGTTTCAGCTCGGTTGAGAGCAGTGTTCCCTCTAAGCTAAGTTAGTGTGGGCTAGCTCACAATTTTTTAGCCTCCGGCCCACACATTTTTGTCTTAGCCCAGGAAGGATGACTCCAGAGCAAACTAATTTATGCAGCAGCCAAATCGCTCACTCACAACTTTAATGCCAGTAGCTCACAAGGTAGAATTTTTGCTCACAAGACTCCACAGCTTAGAGGGAACACTGGTTGAGAGAAAATTCCTTGAAACTATTGTATAGATGAGGGGTGTCAAACATAAGACCTGAGGGCCGGAACTGGCCCATCCAGGGCTCTTACGTGGCCCACAAGCAACTGATGCAAGGGAGGGAGTGCTGGGGGGGAGTGGGTGGAGCCACTCCATTGTGGCTTCAACATGACAGAACAACCTCATCTGCATCAGTCAGGCATTGTGGGAGCATCTGCCCAGCGCTGAACTGCTGCCTCTCCAGTCTGCCTGTGTGGGTTTTCCTCTGCAACCCCCTCCCAGCCCATGGGGCCTTGCAGTGAGGACACACCAACTTGGAGCTTACCAGCTGCTGTCCTTTATACATTTTATACCTCCAGTACCTGTCATTATGTTTTCGGGCACACATGGCCCGGCCCGACAAAGTGACATTTACGTCAGATCCAACCCTTGTAACAAATGAATGACACCTCTGGGTATAGGTGGGACTTTATGCCAGTAAAACGTAAGTATATCCATTAAAAAGTCTTTGCAATATTGGAGGTGCCATAATAATATAGGTACATACTTCCATATGCGATGGAACTGCACAAGAGATATGAGTTTTCAGTATACAGATTGAAAACTTCATTTCCCTCTTGAGAGTCCTGGCACCTCTTTTTCCAAAAAAAGAGCCCTGGTGGCTACCATTTCACCACCTTAATTTATGAAGGGGCCCTTGGTGTTTTCTTACAGAGAGGCGGGTATTGGGCTTTTTTGAAGAGGAGAATATGCATTGTGGACAAAACAGAGAACCCCCTGGAATCTTGTGCCCTGAAGTCAATTGTCCCTTTACCATGCGGTAGCGACTTATTATGATGTCATAATGATACAATTGCCTGCCACCAGCAGCAAATGATGTCGTGCAGGAGAAGAGAGATGGGCACGATGACATCACTGCACTAATACATCTTTCTAGGCATTATGGGACATGGGGGCAAGCTCAGCCCAGGCATGCGATCATGGGCAGAATTTCCTGTTATCTGCAACATTGCGCTCTTCCTCCTGAAGCAGGCATGCCTAGAGATGTAAAATTTCTGGAAATTTTGAAGCTTGGAAAAAAACCCAGGTTTTCCCCATTGGTTTGTTGTTTTTAAACGGAAATTTTTGGAAAAATGGGAAAAAATGCTACATTAGCACTTCTTTTTTCTTTTCCAGAATGAAAGTCATTCTGTTACTTTAGGAACATAAAATATGACTATGGACAATTTTACTTGGCATGAAATTATCACAACTAGCATATTAAAAATATACTGTATCCAAACAATTATTGTGGGTGGGTGGGAGGAAGTAAAGAACCAGATTAGTAGTAATTAAATTATTATTTACACAAAGGTTATAAAGATAAACTAATGTAGCTAAATGATTCAGTTTTCTGGAATCAGATAAATGAAAACTCTTCACCTTTTTAAATTAAGTATATACTTTCAGGTCCTTTTTGTTGCTCTGTATTTTCTTCCAACGCTTTGAGGCCTAGTGAAGTCTGAGTGCCAGTATACCCACCCACGTGCAAAAACAAAACTGAAACCTTTTTCTTTTCTTGTGACAATAGCACCTCCTAGAGGAAGAAATGCATCTTGTTCTTGCATTGGAGAGTTCAATTTGTAACCCAGGACTTTTCTTGTCCTCAGTGCACAGAAATTAGATTAATCTGATACCATGCATATTTTTTTAGAAATGATTTGGAAAATATTTGAACACCTTGTCTTAAAATATTTTATTCATCATATTAAAATAAAAGGTTCCATAATCAATTTTTTTCTTTTCTTTTTTTCAGTTTTTCCAATTTTTCAGAAAAAAACAAAAAAGGCTTCAGGAAAAAAATGGGTTTTTCCCAAGTTTTTCCAGTTTTTTCTGGGCCTTCACATCTCTAGGCATGCCTTTCTCTTAATCTGTGGTGTGTGCCTCGGAATAAAAAGCTACCATCATCCGTAGAGAAACCAAATGTTCAAAGATGCCCTCATGGGACAGTGCATTAATTTATTCTGGTTTTGGTCAGCATTGCACCGTGGGAAACGCCTGCCTCAAACCGCCTGGCAAAACCCAGTGAAGTTAGTTGGTTTGAGGCGAAGGCCACCATGACCTCCTTTGTTGAAGCAGGGATTTGAACCCAGCCCAAGAACAGCATACTGGCCCCAGGGAATTGGGGGGTTCTTTGCCATTTACCTTAGGGCTGTGGTGGCACAAGTGGTTAAGACGCTGAACTGCAGACCGGAAGGTCGGTAGTTCAGCAGTTCGAGACCCGAGTGCCGCGAGATGGAGTGAGCTCCCGTCTCTGGTCCCAGCAACCTAGAAGTTCGAAAGCAAGAAATTGCAAGTAGATAAATAGGTACTGCTTTGGTGAGAAGGTAACAGCGTTCCATGCGCCTTGGCATCTAGTCATGCCAGCCACAAGACCACAGAAACTTCTCTGGACAGCGCTGGCTCTTCGGCTTAGAAACGGAGATGAGCACCGCAACCCTAGAGTCAGATTCGACTGGCTTTCGAGCAAGGGAAACCTTTACCTTACTATTTTAAAAAAGTAATTTATACCCCACCTTTTTGCCCAGCGGGGACCAAAAGGGCTCACATCATTCTCCTCTCCTCCATTTTATCCTCACAACACCCCTGCGATGTAGGTCAGGCTGAAAGACTGTGACTGGCCCAAGGCCACCCAAGTGAGCTTCAATGGCACATGTGGGGATTCGAGCCTGGGCTTTCCAGATTCTACCCTGACACTCTTAACCACTTCGCCACACAGATCCATGCCCCTCCCATGCGCTTGGGCGATGTACAGATTCTGCCAGCCATACAGGGGCTGCTCAAGAATCAGCCACTCTCGGGATGGGGAACTGCTACAGGGCATCACTATCTGTTTTCTACATGTTGATTTGGATACCATGTGGTTAAAAATAATTACTAATTATCGTATGGCACTGTGTGAACTATAGCCAGGAGATCCTAAGATTGTCTGGCAGCCAGAAGTTCTAGCTCTTTTAGAGGTACGCACCACTAGGTGGTGAGCTAGACGTGTTTTTGAGGCAAGAGATGTTCCAGAGGTGGTTTGCTGTTGCCTGCCTCTGCGTCACGACTCTGGTATTCCTTGGAGGTCACCCTTCCAAATACTAGCCAGAGCTGACCCTGCTTAGCTTCTGAGATCTGATTATATCGGGCAATCCTGGGCTATCCAGGTCAAGGGTACCATGTGGCTGACTTGTGTGCACACACAGTGCCCTGCGTCTCCACTGAGATCTGAAATTTGTTCTGATGACATACAGAAATAACCGCCCTGTTCAACAGGTAAGATATGGGCTTAGATCTGAAGGACCTTTCCTGCTAATGGTAAGTATTTTCTCTTGCAGAACAGAGAAAGAACAATTTTTGCTGATTACTCCCCTCTCCCCCTGTGAGCCAAGAGGGCACAATTGCTGGGGGAGGAGAGAGACACAGACGTGTCGCTTCTATAAGATTTTCATTTTGTTAGTTGCCTCGAGTGCTCTTTGCAGGTGAAGCTAGACTGACGGCAGATGAACGCAGTGTTACCTCGACTTAGCAAACCTTCTCTGGGGACTTGGTGGAGGAAAACAGAGCTAGAGGGGGGTGTTTTGGACCAGGGAGATGGCGAGAAATAATTGAGCCTGTCTCCTCCTTTATCACTTCCTCAGTCCCAATTCCTTCTCTGCACGAGGCTCTTTAAAAGGGCCTGTCACCAGCCATGCTCCCTCTGAGCCGTGGAGTGCTGTGAGCAGAAATTCTACTTTGTGAGCTCTTGGCATTAAAGTGGCGAGTGAACGATTTGGCAGCCGCATAAATTAGTTTGCTCTGGAGCCCTCCTTCCTGAGCTAAGACAAAAAATGTGCGAGCCGGAGGCTAAAAAACTGTGAGCTAGCTCAGCTTAGAGGGAACACTGGTCACAAGGACAGCACGTTTGTCTACATTTCGCACCTGGTCTGAATAAAGCCAGTAAGTGACTGAAACTGGGACCATCGTCATTTGCTACGTCCGTGACCTGTGCGGCACCCTGTTAGGCCGACGGCCCTCCCTGAGTTGGCTGTGACTCCTGTCTTCTTCTCTTGCAGAGAGCCGTATGATTCTGGATGCCTTCGCCCAGCAGTGCAGCCGGGTCCTCAGTCTCCTAAACTGCGGCGGGAAGCTCCTGGACACCAGTCGGTCCCAGTCGCTGATTTCCTGCATCAAGCAGGAGGGGGCCGGCTTCGGCGAACGGCCAGAGCAGTGTCAGCTTGGGAAGATGGTCCACAGCCAGACCTCAGACAACTTAGACCTGGAGCTGCAGTACCTCCAAAAGAAGCAGCAGACCTCTGCATTCCTGAGGGTCTTCACCGACTCTCTCCAAAACTATTTGCTTTCGGGAAGCTTCCCCTCTCAGAACGCTCCCTCGGTGAGTGACTTTGGCCACCTGGCAGACGTGGATCCGCTTTCTACCTCTCCGGTGCACACGTTAGGGGGATGGACGTCCCCAGCGACCTCGGAGTCCCACGGTCACCCGTCGTCTTCTACTCTTCCAGAGGAGGAGGAGGAGGAGGAGGAAGGCTACTGTCCTCGTTGTCAAGAACTGGAGCAGGAGGTAATCTCCCTGCAACAAGAGAATGAGGAACTTCGAAGGAACCTGGAGAGCATACCAGGTAATCTGACTTTTTATTTTTTAAAAAAATCTTTACCGACTGCTGCCACACGGGGGCGGGGGGGAATGCACGGGCAAAGTGTGGCTTTTGAAAGCCGCACCAAAATAGGCACACGGCGGCGGGATCACACAGATCCCGTGAGCCGCCGCGCACTTGCTCCCCGGCACGATCAGATGCTGGGGAGACCAGGGAGAAAGCCATGAAACAGAGAGGGAGGCTGCCGAACTGCGCATGTGTGAGCATGCGCAGTTCGGCCAGGAGCCTCAGATGCGCCGGCAAAAGGACGTGCCGGCGATCCCACAGCTGCGCTTGCCGCGGCCTTTCTGGTAAGTCCACCTCTAGGGGTGGTTCTTTTTTGCAGCGGGTTTTCGGCCTGAAGGGCCGGATCGGGGACAGGTGCACACCGCTTCCCAGATGTTGCGGTGCGATCACGCTCGTTTGCTGCGCCCCCGATCCATCCCTCTCCCGGCCCAAACCCTTACGTGTAACCGGGGCCACTGTAAGCCCTGATGTCAAGTCCTGTTGAAGTCAGTGGGATATATATCTCATGTTTGCTGCAGCAGATAGACATTGCTGCCCTTCAGAAGTCCATATGGCACAGAGATTTACATGAGCTTATTCTCTCTCGCCAGATAAACCTGGGAATTGTCCGGAAGGCGCTCTAGCAGAGAGCTGCCAGCACCCTCACGCTCAAACCTTAGGGGAAAGCGGCAACATTTATCTTGGTATCAAATGCAGACATGGACACAGAGTTGTGTATTACCAGATTAGTGGCCCAGCCTTTCGTGCCGGATCTCGTCAGATCTTGGAAGCTGAGCAGGGTCAGCCCGGGCTAGTATTTGGATGGGAGACCTCCAAGGAATACCAGGGTCGTGATGTAGAGGGAGGCAACAGCAAGCCGCCTCTGAAACATCTCTTGCCCTGAAAACCCCACCAGGGGTCGCCATGAGTCAGAGGTGACTTGGCAGTAAAAAGTAGCAACAACAGAGTTACTTATAGAGATACTCGCTTGCTGCCCCTGGCATGGAGGAGACACAGTGGAAGCCCTGTTCACAAGTTACATTGAATGTATGTACAATCCATGTACATAATACAACTGATTTCTCCTTATGCATGTGTTGAGCAGGCCTATTTTTGGGCAGGAACTGCACAGGAACGGAGTTCTGGCTGGCTCCCAAGTTGGCCACGCCCAACAGGAACTCATTAGCATAATAGGCCACACCCAACAGCAGAAACTCATTAGGATTGGCTACATTAGGGGTGTGTGGCCTAACATGCAAAGGAGTTCCTGCTACAAAAAAGGCCTTGGGTTTTGACAACAAACAAGGTAAACAGAATAACAAGCAAAAGGTGGGTGTGGCTGGATAACCACACTTCTGGTAACATGGGGGTGCGTCCTAATGTGCTAATGAGCTGTGCTGTCAGGGGTGTGGCCCAATATGCTAATGAGTTCCTGCTGTTGGGTGTGGCCTATTATGCTAATGTTCCTGCTGGGCTTTTTCTACAAAAAGAGCCCTGGCGTTGAGTAATGCTCATACACAGCTCATGTACAGCACAGTATGTGTGATTTAAACCCCACGTTTATCCAGATACTGGTCCCCCGTTTCATTTATATGTAAACAATGGGTGAGATTTACACCCAAGGATTCCAGATAGAAGATAGCAATGTCTCTCTAGTATTTCCCTAACACTAGCATATGTTTGGTCATACGTGAGAGAAATGACCATTCTGTCTGTGGTCTTATTGCGAGGTGTTAATAAGGATGTCCGTGTTGTGTTCTTAGCTTTGAAACAGGAAAATACTAGAAAAACATTGGTGCCTTTCATTTGTAAAGATGACAGAACACTTCATGTTTCCTGCAGGCAGATGAACACATGAAACTGCGTTATCTTGAATCCCTTGGTCCTTTAAAGTCAGTATTGTCTACTCAGACTGGCAGCCGCTCCCCAGGGTCTCAGGCAGAGGTCTTTCCCATCCCCTACTGCCCGGTCCTTTTAACTGGCGGTACCGAGGATCGAACCGGGGACCTTCTGCATGCCAAGCAGATGCTCTACCACTGAGCCACAGCCCCTCCTTGATTGTTTGCATGAACATGCACGTCTTACTTGCATGCACTGAAGCATGTTTATAGGGCTACAGATGACAGAGAGCAAATTACAGAGCAGCAGATGGGTGTAAATACATTCCAGGAAGTGTGCTGGGCGAGCGCATAGGTAGGAGAAGCATTCAGGTTAACTCTCCCTCATCAAAGCTTATCCTTGCAGTGCCCTTATGTCACAAAACAGCTCAGCAGAGCAGGCAGGGGTCTTCAGCAAGTCGCTGGCTGGCTGCTGAAGGTTCAGTTGTATGTGCCCCAGAAGGTCCAGGTGAAAGACTGCAAGAGAGAATGTGTTTTATAAGGCCTGGAGAGGCTCTGTCAATTCACCTGGTTGGGTCTCTCTATGGAAAGGGAATTGGAAACCAGTCCTGCGGTGGCTCAAGTGGTTAAGACGCTGAACTGCAGGCTGTGTAAGGTCAGCAGTTCGAGACCCGGGTGTGCCGCATGACGGAGTGAGCTCCCGTCTCTGGTTCCAGCTCCTGCCAACCTAGCAGTTCGAAAGCAAGAAATTGCAAGTAGATAAATAGGTACCACTTCAGTGGGAAGGTAAAAGCATTCCGTGCGGCTTGGTGTTTAGTCATGCCGGCCACATGACCACGGAAACGTCTTCGGACAGCGCTGGCTCTTTGGCTTTGAAACGGAGATGAGCACCGCAGCCCTAGAGTCGGACTCGACTGGCTTTCGAGCAAGGGAACCTTTACCTTTGCCTGCCCTTTAGCAGGGGATTGGGGGAGAAGCGAACGTAATGTATTCACAGGGAATTATACATTAAAAATGCTTTAGTCGCTTGGGATGTTCCCCCCCCCATTTCTCAGAACTAGCTCTCGTTAGAGAAAACGTTGACATCCCTTGTTATGAAGTAGGACTTAATATATGGGCAGGTGCAGGCTATGAAGCCAAGTGACAGAACATCTCTTTGATCCTCCGCCCCTTCCCTCATCCTTCCCCCTGGAGCCACATGGCTTCTTCCTCTCCCAGCCTCCTGCCCCTGCCCCTGCATTGGTTTCTGCCACCTTAGTGGCGTGGCAGAGGAATGGCCTCTCTCTCTGCACCTGTTCTCCATATCCAGGCGTTCCCTGCAAGTGACAGCAGTCTGTGTTGTGCCCTGAGCTGCTCAGTCAATGGAAACCGCTTATTCGCACAGATCTAGTGAGCCCACCTCCTTAGGAAGGTCAAGGGACTTAGTACTCTCGTGTTTCCAGAAGCATGAGAGGGTCTCAAATGCTTCTGTGCCGGTATTTGCACCAGGGTTTCCGGCGGTATGGCGCTGTGCTATGGGCGCGTCTCTCGGGAGCTCCCGAGAACGCCCAGCTCGTCCGCGCTCTCTCGGGACCCCCCGAGTTTCGGGGGGCCCCGCTTGGAGCTCCTGTAGGGAGTCCAAGGTAGGAGGCTTAACCGGCCCCCCCGTTTCCCTGGCAAGGACGGGGGGTGACCGGTTTGCCTCAAAGCAGGAGCGCCTACGAGAGCGGAAACTCTGCTTCCGCTTAGCAGCAGCCACCCGTGCTTTTAACTTTTCTTTGATTTTCGTCTTTGTAAGTTTTTTCTTTTTTCGACTTCACCCTTACGTTACCCTAATGGACACCACCCTCCAACAAACTGACTGATCTGAAGAAATATTCCCCCTCGCCGGTTTCCCCCCCTCCATACCGAAAAAAGAGAGCGGCTGGGAACTTTCAAAAGGAGACGGGGAAAGCACAACTGGAAAAAAAAAGGTATGGGGGAGAAAATAGCTTGGCTGGCTATAATATTATATTAACTGCTACTTTCTAACGAACTATAAAAATATTGGAAAGTTTTGGAGTACAAAGGCTGTACCTTTAAGACTACGAGAGACAAGAGACAAGAGGACGTAATTCTGGGAGGAAATGGCGCTAGCGGAGACCTGCAGCCAAATAAGCAATGCTATACTCACAGAACTCAGAACAGATAGCTTTAAAGAGCTATTGAAAAGAGACCTGGAAAAGTCACTTACACTGGCTTGGGATAAGATATTGGAGAAGGTACAATTTATTTCCACAGAGGAAAACCTCAACTCGGAATATACAAATGAGACACAAAGACGAACTGAACTGCAAGAAGCTGAGCAGGCAGAAAATTTACAGACTCTCCAATATGTATCTACACAACGAGAGCGAGAGCGGCATAACACGGACGCTTTGACCTCGGCTGGGGAAGATGAGAAATCATCGAAAATAAGAACTGGGGGGAAAAGGCTCCCATATCCTTCCCGGAGGAAAAAGAAGAAGATAAAAAAGAGGATTGTACCGGTGAAACGACCAAGAGAAGTTAAAGACCTGACTTTTGATGTAAAGCGGCATAAAGAGGACGGCTGGACAGTTAATTCAAGGGAATACAAAGATCAAAGACACCTGACAGAAAAAAAAGAAAATCAGAATAAAAAAATAACAGTGAACGAATCTTATAGATTGAGGTTTAATGAAATTGGAATACTCCTTACATAGATGCATGAGTTCTATTATGTTGGAATAGTGGTAGAGATATGTGTAAGGACAGATAGAATTCAAGATGGACAGATAGAAAATGAGAAGACACCAAGATAGGGAACTGTTGAATGTTTATTAATCAGCTTATATAGGTGCCTGAGTTCTTAGTTGCTAGAGGGATAATGATAGGAACCATACCAAAAAGGAGATCTTGTGAAGGTCTGTAGATAACACAGCTAACATACTTATTTGTAGGATTTGGAAAGTACAGCTTAAAAAAAAAATAGGAGGGATATCAAAAAGATAATTAAAGAATTTCTGTTTTGAGTGCTGAGTCAAAAGTGATGTAAAATAGCCACTTATGTTGCTAGGTAGCATTTATTGTTTTTTGGGGTTTTTTTTTTGGTATGATGATAAAATATATCAAGTATATTAAGTGATAACATTAAGTTTATAATTTGATGAATTTCTGATAGGAAGGTGGAAGTGATTAAAACAGATGAAATAGTGCTGAAATTGATTAATGGAATTAAGAGGGATCCACCATGCAGGAGAGAGGAGATTAAGAGCGCAATCCCTTCTCAGTTCATTGACTTCAATGGAGTTAGAAAGGAGTAGCTCTACTTAGGGTTGGACTGTTAGACAGCTTTCCCATCACACCCCAAAAAGGGAAATTAAGAGGGATCCACCATGCAGGAGAGAGGAGATTAAGAGCGCAATCCCTTCTCAGTTCATTGACTTCAATGGAGTTAGAAAGGAGTAGCTCTACTTAGGGTTGGACTGTTAGACAGTAAGTACATGAAGCCAGTGTGAACTGCTTTGCGCTGCTGGTTTATAACTTACTGTTCTGTTTTGCCTTACTTCGACGCTAGCGTTTTAGATCTCTTTTTTCAGTGCCAACCTAGCAGTTCGAAAGCAAGAAATTGCCAGTAGATTAATAGGTACCCCTTCAGTGGGAAGGTAACAGCGTTCCGTGCGCCTTGGTGTTTAGTCATGCCGGCCACATGACCACGGAAACGTCTTCGGACAGCGCTGGCTCTTCGGCTTTGAAACGGAGATGAGCACCGCAACCCTAGAGTCGGACTCGACTGGCTTTCGAGCAAGGGAACCTTTACCTTACTTTTACTTTCCGTAGGGGGCCTGTTTCCTTTCCCTCCATTCTGCCCCGCAGTGTTTTTAACCCTGGTAAACAGGTGAGTCCTTTCTCACATCATAAATGTCAAACTCTGACAAACTCTCTACTCTGCCACCCTAGAGTCGGACTCGACTGGCTTTCGAGCAAGGGAACCTTTACCTTACTTTTACTTTCCGTAGGGGGCCTGTTTCCTTTCCCTCCATTCTGCCCCGCAGTGTTTTTAACCCTGGTAAACAGGTGAGTCCTTTCTCACATCATAAATGTCAAACTCTTGACAAACTCTCTACTCTGCCACCTTCCCCATTTTTTACAAAAGCTTTTAATTTAATGCATAGATCTTGCTTAAGTAATCCCTAGCCTATGAACGCCTTGTGTCTTTTCCCCACAGTGCCGTGCCAGACTGTTTTAGATTACCTGAAGACTGTTCTTCAGCATCATAACCAGCTCATGATGCCACAGCCCGTGGACCAGCCGGCAGAGGTAATGTATGCCAGGGATAGGAAACACCTTGTCTTTTGACACTTTGGTAATCATGTGTGTGCAGGGAAATAAAGCGACACACTCTGGAAGAATTCATTTACTGGCAGATAAAAAGGTGTGACATTTCACTCTGAAAGTCTTAATTCTTCACATGGCGTGTTCAGGCACTCAGAGGAGGCTAAGGCGGCCATCCTACGGAACACCTCCCCGGGAGGAAGCCCCTTTGATTCAAGTGGGACTGGTTTCTGGAGAAGACTTGCTGAGGATTGCTCCCAACAGCAGCCACTGCCTAGGCATACAGGTGGTGCATGCGGCATGTCCCCAGGGCCAGCCTCAGTCTTTCATGTCCTCCCCCACAGCCATATTTCCTGTAACGTGAACTCACAGGAATCGCCATATGCTTAGATAGTCCAGGCAATCCACCCCCTGCGGAAAAGTGAGGCAGAGGAATCCTTTGAGACCCCCCCTAGAAAGGTTCCCTAATGGCTGCCACCACTCAGGTATGGGTCTCCTCCGGAGGGCCCAGAGCACCCACCCCTACCCCCTTTATATGCTCCTTTTCCAGTAGGTTTCCCCTTGTAAGTGACCGAATGGGTCCTGAGGACCCAGGCGGAGTAACAAACTATTTTTATTTTATTTATTTTTCAAAACAATTTATTAGGATATAATAAAAAAGAAATGTTCAAACATATATCAAAACTTATACAATTATATATCCTTCCCTCCTCCCTTCCCCCCCCCCTTCTCGGCTTCCCACAATGCTCCAACCTCCTGCCCGATTCTTAAATTTTCTTCGTACCTCCTTATCTCCTTATTCACATCTACAGGTAACTTAATCTTCAACTGTTAGTCTTAGATATTTATCTATTTTCTACTATTTTAATTTTCAGTAATTCTCAAAGCAAAATAAATTTGTCCTTTACATCCCAGTATTTCTCCAAATAGTCTTTAAAATCTATCCAGTCTGCAAAAAATTTCTTCTGCTTCCAAATTATTAAGTTTCCTTGTCATTTTGTCCTTTTCAGCCATAAAAAGTAATTTTTTAATCCATTCCCCTATTTCAGGGACCTTATCTTGTTTCCAACATGGAGCATACATCATTCTGGCAGTCGTGATCACGATCAAACTATTTTTATTAACGAAATTTAACAGCAACTATAATCCAATGACATGTAGGGGAAATGAGCACAGTAAACCAGCAAAATAAGACATCCTAACGCATCTGACTATACTGCCTTGGCGTCTCTGGGTATCTGGTCTCAGACTGACTCGCCCCTTTTGGAGGAGGGATCCCTCCTTCTGCAACAGACTCACCAGCTCTGCCCCGTGGGAGTGAACCCCCCTCCCACTTTGGGCAAGGCCTTTTATTCCTTCTTTCCCGGCACCACCCTCTACTCCTCTGCTGGTGTAAGTTTTCCCTCCAAATCCCCTGTTAGCCAATCACAGGGTCCAGAGGGTACATGGGAAATGTAGGCCCTGTTGCCGTTGTTCAGTCGAATCCGACTCTTCGCGACCCCATGGACCGCATCACGCCAGGCCCTGTAGCCACTCTAATACAGGCTTCCCTGGAGCCACTAGGCCTCTCTGGAGCCCATAGGCCGCACCACTATAGGCCTAGGATCATGACACCCCCAAAAGATATCACCTTTGGGTCTACAGCGAGCACCTATTTGGAAACAGCGGCCCCCATCAAGAAGGACGCTTGGCTTGAAATCTCCCGATGCTTTGTGATTTCTCCACACATACACCCACCCACCCACCCATGGTAACTGTTTTGTGACTGTGCCCACTACCCCTCCTCAAAATCCCAGAAGTGGCCACAGGATCAACAAGGTTGGGAACACTTGGTATAGATACTCCAAACGTTTGGTACAGGAAACAGCCAGGTATCCACCGGTGTTCCTGGTCTCTCACTAAAAATCAGGTCAAGGCAGGTTCTAAAGAGAGATCTGCTTTTTCAGTGGCCTTCTTCAGTGTGGAGTTAGCTTGGTCAACTAGAGAAAGGCCCAAGTAAGACATCGCTCAAAGGCAGCCTTGATAAGCAGGATTTGTATCATAAATCCCAGCCTTCCATTTGTGTTTTTACCAAACATTCTGACTTCAGAGAATTCTCCCCACAGCAACATGTCGACTGAATATCTATCATGGAACTGTAAACATGCTTCTAGGGCACACGTTCTGTTTCACAGAGGGCATCGACCAAGCTTATTAGGCCCTGCCACATTAACTGAGAGTGCTGCTCCAAAGAAAACATCCCTGAGGCTGCCAGCTACAAAGAAGTATTGTTTTGGAAGGCAAGCTGTTTCTTCAAGAAATGTCTGAGAAGCCCCCACAGAACTCCATAGGGCTGCCAAGCCGCAGCGGGGGATCCGCACGTCTTCACAGGATCCCTGCCGCGGGGGACAGTGATACACGTTGCTGTTTGGAGTCCCGTTGCCAGAGCGACGCGTAGCATCACATCCTGGCGACGGCGGTGCAACGCGTATCGCTGTCCCCCGCAGCAGGGATCCTGTGAAAACGTGCGGATCCCCCGCCGCGGCTTGGCAGCCCTAGAACTCCAGATTCCTCAGAATGCAGTTTCAGAACCTCTTTCCTACACAGTATGGTGGTGGATCTCAAACTGTTAAGTCGCAACCCCAAATTGGGTCACAGCTGTCATAAAAGTAGGTCAGTATGGCTCAAACATCTCAGCTGGGAAAGGCAGAAGGAGGAGAAAAGAGGACACAGCTGCTACATTTTCTCCTCCAACATCCCACAGCACTGTTCACTCCCAGCTATCAATGGTGCAGCTGAAGACATTTGTTGTCTACATTGATTGCCTCCTGTAACAGCAATGGTTAGGTCCCAGCTGAGTCCTAAGCCACAGTAGAATAAATTTTAGAAGTGCATTCCTCTTCAAAAAGTTTTAAAGCTGTTGCAATTTTGGTTTTCTGCACTGTGGTACTGATGGTACAGTGTACCATATCACCGTGGAAACCACCATAGAGATCAGCCCTGTACAGGGCGCTCAGCCTTCTGGTCTTCCTGCCACAAACTGATGAATGAATTTGCCATGCTAAGGGACGTTTTATCATTCCTGATTTTCAAGGCTTCATTTCTTTTCATTTTTCTGTAATTAATTCATCATGTTTTCCCCTTGGAACCTGAGGCAGCCTACACAGAGGTTCTAGAAGGTTTTCCATCCGAGCACTGGTCAGGACCAATGTTCCCTCTAAGCTGTGGAGTCTTGTGAGCAAAAATTCTACTTTGTGAGCTGCTGGCATTAAAGTTGTGAGTGAGTGATTTGACTACTGCATAAATTAGTTTGCTCTGGAGTCATCCCTCCTGAGCTAAGACAAAAATGTGTGAGCTAGAGGCTAAAAAACTGTGAGCTAGCTCACACTAATTCAGCTTAGAGGGAACACTGGTCAGGACCAGACCTGTTTTTCCACAAGGTTACTGTACCACGTACTTTCTGGAGACATTTGTGGTTCAGGAAGCCCACAAAATGGCAAAGAACCCACTAAAACACTGAGAAAAGAAATCGACAAAACAAAAACCCACTCACCGACTAGCAGAACAGTAGGCCGCCAAAAGCACCATTCCCCGAAAAACCTTCGAGCCAAACAATGAGTGAGACAGCCATCAGGTCAGCAAATATCCAGATGGCATCCAAACGAGGATGGTTTTTAATTGATTGTCTGAAGGCAAAGAGGGATAGAATCAGTGTGACCAATGGGAACGGACTGTGGTGCTTTATAATGTAGTGTAAGTTTAAAAAATCCCAGGTCTGTTCCCCAAGGAGCTTCCAAGTTAGTGGAATTTACATTGTTGTGGAACAGGAGAGCCACAAGTAAGAGAAGAGGAAGGCGAGTAACTGCAATTGTATATATTGATTGTTGAAATTGATTGTGTATGGTATATAGTGTGATTGTTAGTATTATTTAATTGGTAAAAATTACTGTTAAAAATTTATAATACATGCAGTATTAAAGATTTTGTGCACGGTGTTCATTTTACTCCTGCATCAAAGTATCAGGAGCTGCGGTGGCTCAAGTGGTTAAGATGCTGAACTGCAGGCTGTGGAAGGTCGGTAGTTCAGCAGTTCGAGACCCGAGTGTGCTGCATGACGGAGTGATCTCCCATCTCTAGTTCCAGCTCCTGCCAACCTAACAGTTTGAAAACAAGAAATTGCAAGTAGATAAATAGGTACCGCTTCGGTGGGAAGGTAACAGCGTTCCATGCGCCTTGGTGTTTAGTCATGTCGGCCACATGACCACAGAAATGTCTTCGAACAGTGCTGGCTCTTCGGCTTTGAAACGGAGATGAGCACCACAACCCTAGAGTCGGATTCGACTGGCTTTCGAGCAAGGGAACCTTTACCTTTAGAGGGCACTATTAGATTCCAAAGAACAGTTTCTGTACCATTTTTACAAAGTATTTCACCATGGTCTCTTCGGTTGTTTTGTTATTTGTCCCCGTACCTAAGCCGCTTCGTATCTAGATGAATGTCATAAGAACCTAAGAAGAGCCCTGCTGGAACAGACCAGTGTTCTATCTAGTCCCACGTCCTGTCTCACACAATGGCCAGCTAGTTCCCTTGGAAGTCCAGCAACAGGACATCGAGGCAGAAGCCTTGCCCTGATGCTGCCTCCTCGCTCTGGGATTCAAAGGTTGACTGCCTTTGAACATAAAGGCCCCCTTTAGTCACCCTGGCTACTAGTCGCTGATGGACCTATCCTCCGGGAGTCTTATCTAATCCCCTTTTAAAGCTGTTTAGTCCTATGGCCATCACTATATCCTCTGGCAGCGAATGCCGCGTTTTAATCACTATAACATCAAAGAAGCAAAAGCAGTTGTGACCAAATTACTAATGTTGTTTCAATTGTACTCAATAAATTTCAAATCTGAACCATTCATGCACAAAATTGGCTTTTATAAAGTCACATAATCATGTTGTCCCAATCCAAGGTATGCTGATACGTACTAGAAAAGTCCCAAAGGGGAAACAACTTATCACAATTTCAGTGAGCAATGTTCTTCAGACGATTCGGTTATCATTTTCAGAAATTCATATCCCATCAGCCATTCAGTAGAAAAATCAATGATTCTAATCACTGTCTATGTAAAAAAAACTATTTCATTTTGTTCTTCCTGAATCTGCTGCCCAAAGTTCTCTTTTGTCGACTCTCTCCACCCCGTGTCTGAATCCAGGGCGCCTTTACTTTTGAGAGCTGGATTTTTAAGCCCCTATCAATTCAGGTAATTACTGGCAAGATCCACTGGCAGACATGGCAGTGTTTGCATAAAGCTATTGTTTGCATTCATGCCAAGTTCGTGAATAGTAACATGACTTTTAGGCCTTACTTAACTTTGTTTTTATTGGCTTTAGAGTTTTTCCCTGCAAACATAAAGCACCGTCAGATCCTTGAGTGTGTTAAACAAAAGGTAATACGTTAATTATGTAAATAGGTTATTATAAAAAGGTGACTTCTTAGGCAACAATCTGTCAGCTGCCACGAAAAGGCCTGTTTGATCACACTCTTCAAAAGAAATTTTACACATTTTAATGGATTAAGAGAGAAGATTACATTTAAATAGTTTTCCCAATCGCTGGATCTTGACACTTTTTAATCTTACCTGTGAAAGTATCTTATAAATAGCTTCATTCTCCATAAAGGTGTTCATTACACCACACTGGTTCTTGTTATAGAAAATGCAAATGTAAAATTTTTTTTAAATAAAAAAATGCGTGTTCTCAAGTATGAGCCATTCCTTGTTCACATCAGCCTGTGTTTCACTGTCAGCATTTCACAGCTGCTCAACTTCTAACAATTTTTATCTTTTCTATGCCGGCTGATATCATCTTCTCTGCTCGTCAGCCTTTTTTTGAAATAATGAGGGAAACAATTAAAAAAATTTTTTTGCTTTTGTTGTTGATGTTGTCGTCGCAGGGCAGCAAACAGTTGCTGAACAACTACCCCGTCTACATCACTAGCAAACAGTGGGATGAGGCCGTGAACTCCTCCAAAAAAGACGGACGGCGGCTCCTCCGGTACCTCATCCGATTTGTCTTCACCACCGATGAGCTTAAGTACTCGTGCGGCCTTGGAAAAAGGAAAAGGTCAGTGCAGTCAGGAGACCCTGGTCCTGAAAGACGTCCTCTGGATCCAGTTAAAGTTACATGTCTCAGAGGTACTGCATCTTTTCACTCGGTGTCCACCATATGCAATCTCATTTCACCACATCAGCTCTCTGGCTTTAATTAAAAAAAAAAAACTGTTTCAGTTCCTGTAACAAAGAGGGGAGGGAAGCTTGCTGTGGAAAACCACTGGTCGTGGGGAGGTTGGGTGCAGGTCTTAGAGTACAAATTTGCTGGATAATTTGCTTTTTTAAAGGGTCTTGTATGCTCACATTTTGTGCTAGAGAAGTCCAGAATCAGGTTGGAGGGTTAAATTGGTGCTCTTGTATCTGTGTATGCTTTTATGCCAGAAGAATTTCAGACAGACGATATAATCTGGAAGAGGAACGGTTCTCAAACAGTTTCTGGTCTGTCATTTCAGACAGAACCGTTTTAGAACCTGTTCCCTACCGGAATATATTTGTAATTTCAGACACAAACGCTTCTGACCTGTTTAGGAAACGGGGCTGAAGCGTTTTACCTGTCAACCGCTTCCAAGTAGTCTTCAGTTTCCTCTCCCGGTCCCGATGCGTATTTTCCCCGCCGTTTTTCACCCGCGCGGGCGATCTTCGGCTTTTTTTTGGGGGGGGGACGTTTGCTTTATAGTGCTACAGCGCTATAATGCAACAGCATTATATCAACCCCATCGAAATGCCTGGAGTGTTTTGTTATAGTGCTACAGCGCTATAGTGCTCTAAAGCGAATGTTCAAAAAAAAAGCTGGAGATCGCCCGCACGGGCAAAAAACGGTGGGGGGAAAGCGGGGAAAAGCAGTGCAGTCTGAAATGGCAAACTGCTTCAGATCCAGCTCTTTACCGGAAGGGGAAAGCCATGTGTGAAATGGCAGCCCTATACCGGTTTACTCCACGACGGATCAAAAACAGCTTCAAAATGGGTTTAAAAGGGTAATGTGAAATTCCTCCCAGTCTTTTAAGTAGGGTTACCAGATCCTCCCTGGCCACTGGTGAGGGATGGGGTGGTAAGGTTGCCAGTTTCAGGTTGGGAAACTCCTAGGGATTTAGACATGTAGCCAGCAGAGGGCAGGGACCTCAGTGGGGTACAATGCCAGAGAGTCCGTTCTCCAAAGCATCCATTTTTCTCCAGGGGACCTGATCTCTGTCGTCTGGAGATGAACAGAAATTCCGGGGGACCCCCAGGTCCCACCTGGAGGCTGGCGTCCCTTATTTTAAGACTGTTTGATCCTTCAAGGGCAGGAAAGGGAGAATTATCATCAATAAAATAATAAGCAAAATCCCATGAACACTTGAAGTGGCCTAATACTGAATCAGACCCTTGGTCCATCAAAGTCACTACTGTCTACTCAGACTGGCAGCAGCTCTCCAGGGTCTCAGTCGGAGATCTTTCCCATCACCTACAGCCAGTTCCTTTAGCTGGAGATGCCAGGGATTGAACCTGGGACCTTCTCACTGACGAAACTGAGCCAGTTTGGTGTAGTGGTTAAGTGTGCGGACTCTAATCTGGGAGAACTGGGTTTGATTCCCCACTCCTCCACTTGCACCTGCTGATGTGACCTTGGGTCAGTCACAAGCTCTGGCACAGCTGTTCCTGAAAGAGCAGTTTGTGTCAGAGTTCTCTCAGCCCCACCCACCTCACAGGGTGTCTGTTGTGGGGAGGGGAAGGGAAAAAAGTTTGTAAGCCGCTCTGAGACTCCAAGTGAAGGGCGGGGTATAAATACAATCTCTTCTTCTTCTTCTACGTGACCACAATCAGTGGGCTCTTCCACATGCTCATTTTTGTTGTTGGTGTGCCCCTATTGCTTCGGGTTTCCCCCCCAATCTCTTCTTCTTTTGCATGCCAAGTAAATACTCTTCCACTGAGCCATGTCCCCCTCCCATGATTCCTTGGAAGACTTATCAAGAATTCCTCAGTGAGAAGGTCAGTAATGATGGAGAAGCTTCTTTCCAAAGAAAGCTAACAGTCTTTCTCCTGCAATGTGCAAATCCAGGGAAATAGTGGCATCATCTCAGTTGCTGCTGGACAGCAGTATGTGCCTTTTTGAGCGATCCACAAAACCCCTAGCCAGCATGGCGTAGTGGTTATGGGCAGCAGACTCTAATCTGGAGAACTGGGGGGATTTGATTCCCCACTCCTCCTCCACATGAAGTCTGCTGGGTGACCTTGGGCCAGTCACAGTCCCCTCAGAACTCTGTTTGGTGTAGTGGTTAGGAGCCCGGACTCTAATCTGGGAGAACCAGGTTTGATTCCCCACTCCTTCACATGCAGCTGCTGGTGTGACCTTGGGCCAGTCACAAGTTTTCTCAGAGCTGTTCTCTCAAGGGCCATTCTTGAACAAGCTCCCTCAGCCTCACCTACCTCATAGTGTGTCTGTTGTGGGGAGGGGAAGGGAAGGGAAAGGAGGTTGTAAGCCGCTCTGAGACTCCTTCAGGTAGTGAAGGGTGGGATATAAATCCAATCTCCTTCTCTTCTCAGCCCCACCTACCTCACAAGGTGCCTGTTGTGGGGAGAGCAAGGGAATGTGATTGTAAGCCATCTTGAGACTCATTATGGTAGAGAACAATAGGGTATAAAAACCAACTCTTCTTCTTCCTTACAATTTAATAGAGAAGGGGAGGCCATCTTTAATATTTTCTTTTTCTTCCTTTATTATAAAAAAATAACCATATAAATGTTTCTTTAGTCCAAGGTTCTGTAGATCAAAAGCTGCTTTGATTAAAACTGGCCCAACAGTTGAATTAACTACAACTTCATTTACGTTTTAAAATCATCCTTTAAACCTAGTTTAAATTTGATTAATCTGACTGTTTTAAAAGTTTGCAGCCTTACTTTAGCTGTGAAGTCAATTCTGAATTAGTTCATTCTAGTTTTTTCTTTTAATTAATACTTAATACCTACTTAAACAAAATATGGGTCTTCACTGAAACTACTGAGATGTCTCATTAAAGAAAATAAACTAGAATTATTCCTGAATCCCATTTCTGAGTTACAGACAACCAATCATAATCTATTTAAATTACGATTAGGCTTGCACTAGTAATGATGGAATTTCATGACCCCAACTGAGCTGTAGTATACATAATTAGCTTCCACTTTGAAAAGTGCATACGGCAAGATCAGCAGGGTTTGAACGAGCATCATGCTGTGGATGCAGATGTACATTTACATCACTTGCGCATGTGCAAGTCCACTTCCGTGCACAGATACCTTTTTCTTGTTTGGGGCATATGCATGTTATGTTGTTTTTTTAACCCTACATTGGGGTTATTTCAGTTTTCATGTGTGTGTGTGTTGTAAGGGGTTACACTAAAGATATGCAAAGCACCATGTTTTTTCAAGGCAAAAAAAATGTTGATATTCCTATTCTATTTTGCCTCCTCATGCCAGGAATTGGGTGTGATGCAGTGGCACTGAAATGCCATAAACATATACACGTATGTGCAGTCGAGTCACAACCAATTTATGGTGACCCCAGCAAGGGGCTTCGAAGGCAAGTGAGAAGCAAAGGTGGCTTGGCGCGGCCTTCCTTTGCAGAGCCTCCCTTGCCAGGCTCCTATCCAAGTACCAACCCTGCTTAGCTTCCGAGATCTGAGGAGATCAGACGATAACTGCACTGCCTTCCCAATTGAAGTGCCATAAAATCGGAAATGAATCTCTTGGGATTCTTTTAAGTCAGCAGAGTATTAAGAGACTGAGTCCATGGTGTGTATTAAAATATAAAAGTTTACTATAAACCTAACATGGGAAAAAGGTACACAGGATATGAAAATAACAAAGAGCTAATATGGCTACATCCTTACAGCTAAAAGGTAAAATGGGAAGAGCAGAAATGGCGTCTCCTTCTCAGTCAGAACAAAGAACGGGAGGAGAAGCCAATATGCTAAATACTTGACACCTTGGTTTCCAATCAGTCTAGCAAATTAGCTCCAAAGTCCCCGGGCATTCTGTTGTCTAAACAGATTGGTTACAAACAAACATGTGACTTAACAAACATCATTAACCCTGTAAATACTGAAGTGTTTTGACTTGTAACATCCAACAGAATCCTTCTAATGCTAAATCCGTTGGCCGCAGTCTGGCTCTGGGCACTCGAACCCGGACACACAGTTGAGCCTGCAGCGAATGCGTATCCAGCAGGGGGCACTGTTGAGGTGGGGACACCTCCATGTGTGTCTTTGCTTTGACTGCCAACGTAGAAGCCAGATTTTTCATGCTAGATCAAGGGATTTATTAAGCTGTGCTAGTCAGATGTGCTCAGTAATGAAACAAAACGCAGCATACAGATATAAAGAGTGAAGAGAGCCATTGATAATGGCCCTGCAAATGCAAATAATGTGTAGAAACTTAGGGTATGCAAATAGAACCTGGGAGTCTTAGCTAGAAGTAATGTTCTAGTGGATGATGTCTAAATGCCCCCTTGGTGGCTTCCTGTGACCAGCCAGTACTTTCAGTGATTGACAAGTTGCTAGATGAGATGGATGGGCTATCGTTTCCTGTACCTCTTACACTGGTTTTTCAAGGACTGTCAGGTTCTGGAGTAAGCACTCTGTACGCAATAGTCCTTGATCAGATTTATTGGGAAGATATGGCTTCTGGTCAGGTGAACACCTTTGCCAGAACTAACGATCAATAGCCCAGGGGAGGAAAGTGGGAAGCGGGTTCCGCCCATCAGACACACGTCACAATCGTTCAGGCTACTACAGGTCATGAGAGAATATACGACCCAACTAGCTGCATCTTAAGACTCCTGTCTCCTAAGGCCACGGCTGGACCTGTGAACCATGTGGGGGTAGCTTTGGGAAAGTTACAAGCAGCGCCTCTGTTCAACACCATCCAATCATTCCCACACTCACCCCCCCCCTTAGGAATGTCAGGGAGGACAGATAAGGTAATAAGCCAAGCCAGCAGATGTGTGAAGCGGGCAGGAGTTACAAAAGCAAAAGTGTGCTTAGCAACGCAGGCAGCAAGATACAGTTATTGATCATGATACAAAGACAACCGATACCCAAGCCAAGGGTCCGATCTTGACAAGGACTTTGTTATGACAGAGGGCTTTTATGAACATGGCTTGGACCAAAAACCTTTTCTGATGCTTCTAAAAAGGTTAGAATAGCTTGTGACACAGCAGGCAGAATCTAGGCCATCCCCTTATGCTTGAGAAAGCTGCTTTTGTTGCTTTCTAGGGATGGAGAGTGATCAGGTAGCTTGGCAAGCCACAATCAAGGGTTCCTGGGGCTTCATTCTCAGTGGTCAAATCCAGAAATGTTCAACATTTGTCCCAGCTGTTGCAGAAGCTTACATTATTTGCTGGAATCTAAAACAGAGGGCAGAAATACATTTGCATAGTTTGTAGCTAGCAGTCCCTAGATGAGATGCAAAACCTCTGAAGTTGATCTGGAACCAAAGGGCTTAAGAGCTGAACTCAAGTTCAACTAAATGGCTTTAATTTCAAATGGTAATTTTGTATTCAAGATGATGCATAATGCCCATACCCACCCTCAATCCTGTATGAAAGTGGAGCTTTGGAAGGAGTTTAAGTCTGACGCGTCTCTTGTTGGATCAGAACACATATATATTGCTAGATGCAGTGTTAAAAAGCAAAAAATGGTAATTCAGCAGTTTCACTCTCTAGAAGCCACGTTCAATGTCTCTGTAGTCTACTAACCTGGGACAATATGAATGTTTGCAAATGCACAGACTGGATTACATGTTTGTTTGTAACCAAGCTGCTACTAGATTGCGATATGGGACTCAGTCTATACAGTGTGAAGAAAGAGATTTTCATTCAAATGGAATGTCCATCCCAGACATCTTTCTTAGGCTGCAGATAAAGTTGTAGTGCACCTGGATCTGGATTGGGCTGTTGTCTGCCACCCACTGCATTAGTCACAGAATATTTTTTAAAAAATACTATATCAAGTAGGTTGATACATGCCCTGATCTGGATGGCCCAGGCTAGCTTAATCTCATCAGATCTCAGAAGCTAAGCAGGGTCAGCCCTGGTTAGTATTTGGATGGGAGACCACCAAAGAAGTCCAAGATTGCTACTTAGAGGCAGGCAATGGCAAACCACCTCTAAACATCTCTTGCCTTGAAACGCCTATAGGGTCACCATAAATCAGCTGCAACTTGACAACAATTTCCACCATCACTTGGTTGATAATATGCCAGTAGGAAATAGGGATGACTACAAACCACATTTTTGTGGTTCGTTTTGATTCGTGGCCAAATCGTGAACCACAACAAACTGGGAAAGCAGGGGTTCTCCTCACGAAAAGTGGCAAAGAACAGAAAAGCAGGGGTTTAAATGGCTCCAAGCAGAAAGCAGGAAGTTAAATGGCTCAGACCCATTCAAGCCCCTGCTTTCTGCTCTTCACAAACCGCCACAAACTGCCTTACAGTTCATGGATATTCATGACGGCTCTTTAGTTTGTGACCTTTGGTTCACGAACCACCCAAAATTCATCACGAAGTTACATTCGTGAGCCAGTTCGTAGGATACCATTTATACATTGGTAGTTATTTCTAATGGCAGGTTCAAGTAAAGAAAATTTCTGAATAAATTCTGAACGTTGTCTTGAAATCCAGCTATAAAGATGTTTGTTTTGGCTCCAGAAGTTCTCTGGGAGGAAGTTTTCTACACAATTAGTGATGCTTTAGAGGTGGCATCTACCAAGAAAGGGCACCTTCTCCTATGCCATCAACCACATTTAAGCTATTGTAACTATCTTTCTTTGGAGCTGCAGTGGCTCAAGTGGTTAAGACGCTGAACTGCAGGCTGTGGAAGGTCAGTAGTTCAGCAGTTCAAGACCTGAGTTGCCGCATGATGGAGTGAGCTCCTGTCTCTAGTTCCAGCTCCTGCCAACCTAGCAGTTCGAAAGCAAGAAATTGCAAGTAGATAAATAGGTACCACTTCGGTGGGAAGGTAACAGCGTTCCGTGCGCCTTGGTGTTTAGTCATGCCGGCCACATGACCACGGAAACGTCTTCGGACAGCGCTGGCTCTTCGGCTTTGAAACGGAGATGAGCACCGCAACCCTAAAGTCGGACTCGACTGGCTTTCGAGCAAGGGAACCTTTACCTTTTTAACTATCTTTCTAGTATGAACCCTGTTTGGGGGCTGAAATAAATGCTCACCACCTTGAGCTTTCTAGAATGCTGAGAATCTCAGTTTTCAAGTTTGTGGGGGGGGGGAGGTGAGCGTGATTGTGATCATGTTAATGAAACTGCAAAACCTGCGTGTTGGTTCTTCAAGATACTTGGAAGCCAGTGGTCTCCGGGGTCCTTCCTTGTTCAGGGGCCAGACTCAGTATATGCTGAGAGTCTGTAGAAACACAAAAAGAGCAGAGACTATAGTATTAAGGGGAGAACTCAGCTTTTAGACAGTTCAGTGTTTGAGGTGGGCTTGTCTGTTTTTAAGGGAGTTTGTAACTTTTATGACTGCAAAGTGTGTGGTTAACGCCTCCTTAGATCTCATGTCGCTTCCAGGATTTGAGGGTGGTTTTCAGTGCCCTTCATCTCTCCAGTCTCCTCCCCACCAGAGCAAAACTAGAATAAATTACGTCAAGTAAAAACCAGGTTCAGTCTCCTTTAATGTATGCAGAGAGCAAGTTTCAGCTTTGCTGGGTGTAGAACTTGCCTTTTCCCAGGTGCAGAATTTTGAATTTTGTTGACCTCCGCTAAAGCGCACAATTTCCACTTCTTCTGTTTGTTGCACTTTCAGCCAGGTTCTTCAACATTCCATGTGGCTCATTACCTTTTTTCCTTCAATTACTAACCCGACACCATCTAGCAATCCAAGCTGTACAGCCATTGTATGCAAATTCCCTTAATTTGTATAATATATGGCAGTTTCATAATAGACCCAGGCAAGACAATATCATTTCAAGTGATGGCATTCCACAATTTGTGTAATTGCATGTGTTAAAGAACAAGTGTGTTTAAGCAACTTTGGGATTTGTCTATAGGGAAACATAGCATGACTGTGTATTGGCCCAATCTGGCAAAGCTAAGTGACTTCTGTTTGCCAGTGAAACGTGTTTATAAACTCCATTTTCCCCCTCACAGAATTCATTAGGATGCACTGCACTTCCAATCCTGATTGGTGGATGCCTTCTGAAGAACAGATAAACAAGGTCTTTAGTGATGCTGTGGGACACGCCCGGCAAGGGCGGGCAGTGGGGACGTTCCTTCACAATGGCAATTCGTATTACGAAGGGATGGACCAACACAGTTCACAAGACGACCTCTTCAATAGAGGGGTCCACGATGGATCTGGTGACTGACGACGGTGGTGAAGGGAACGCACGCAAGCGTGTGAGGCAATGAAAGAGTCCATGCATTCGGTGTCCTGTTTTTGATGTGACTTGAGAGTCCAAAGCATGTTCAAAGTCCTATTTCATCCGGGGCCTTCCTGTGAAATTCCATAGTGTATAAACAGCGAGCCCGCGTTCCCATATAACAGGTCAAATCCATTTTCTGTGCTGTACTACTTGGGAGTAAGGGGAGCTTATGTGGTTCAATGCTCATCTGTATTTTTTTTTAAGAATACCTCCATTTTAAGAAGTGGTGTGTTGGGGAACAGGCTTGCGCCCTTCTCTCTGAAGTCTAGTTTTCTGAGAGTGGGGTGGTACATTCCATCATGTGAGCACCTCTCTGTACTCTGAAGTGGTACAGCCCAAACATCACATTTGCCTTCTCCTCTGTTTGTGAGAACTAGGCCTGTTTTGTAATGAGAATTGCTTTTCATATGTCAAATCTTCATAGGCCTTCAAAACAATTGCCAAATCCGCAATCCTTTTCCCCTCACTTGCACAGAAAATACTTTATAATGAGCTCGTACACAATTTTAGGATTGAACAAAGGAAGTTGTCCTTTATACTCTACTAGGAACATGTAGTAATATTTCATTAAAACGGGGAAGGTATCAAAATCAGGGACAGTTCTGACACTAGAAGTTCTTTGTTTTCCGTTCATACTGTGTCTACTTCTGTCACTTAAATGACTAGGATTAGCTGCTGCTAGATGCTATTCTAGCAGATAACCGGTGACATTCCAAGTTCTCTCTGCTGCTTTAAAATATAGGCCTGGTTGGCCATGAATTTTTTACAGGCCCGAGCTTGACCTGAACTAGGGCTCAGAACCATTGGCTCCCATACGTGACCTGATTCCTGTGGGCCAAGACTGAAGTAAATGGCTTGCCCATTGCCTCCTTCCTAGCATCAACAGAAACGCTGAAACAGTCTACTCTTAACACCCCTCAGCTGTTCACTTCCACTAGGAAGCAAATGAGAGAACTGAAGGTGAAGCAGAGTGTCTGTTGAGGTACTTCCCCAAATAGAAGGGGGCTGAACTAGTCCAGTAAGCACCACATTTAGGGTTGCCAGCTCTGGATTGGGAAATACCTGGAGGATTTGGGGATGGAGCCTGGGAAGGGAAAGGTTTGGGAAGGGGAGAAACTTCAGTGGGGTATAATGCCGTAGATACTACCTTCCAAAGCAACCATTTTTCTCCAGGGGAACAGATCACAGTTGCACGGAGACCAGTTGTAAAATCCCAGGATATCTCCACCTACCTCCTGGAGATTGGCGACCACATAACTCCAGGCCCACAGAATTTCCCTCCACGATACAGAAATGTAATATTGGGGAACAATCTAAGAATTTGTTCTGCATAAGGTTTTCAGTGTCTTGTGTGGGCACTCCTGTTACTGTACAAGAAACAAAAAAAACACACCCTAAAAATGTGGTACTTCTCTACAAGTATTCTGTAAAAATAACAGCCCTTTTAATTATTATTACTACTATTACTACTTGAGGAAATGTTTCACGTTCTTCCTTCTTTTTACTGTACTTGGCTGGCTGAGTCTTCCACACCGGCTGTGGATGGCCACACTGCCTGGTCTGGAAGTAGCGACTTCCTGTTTGGCAAACATGTTTGCACTATTTTATTTCTCTCACCCTCTCTCTAGGGCTCAGGGTAGGTTGTAGTATCCCTTCTAAAAACTGAAACTAAAAATGTAATGACATGAGAGCAGGGCTTTTTTTGTAGAAAAAGCCCAGCAGGAACTCATTAGCATAATAGGCCACACCCAACACAGAAACTCATTAGCATATTAGGTCACACCCCCATGTTACCAGAAGTGTTGTCGTTCAGCCACACCCACCTTTTGCTTCCTATTCTGTTTACTTTGTTGTCAAAACCCTGGGCTTTTTTTTGTAGCAGGAACTTCTTTGCATGTTAGGCCACACATACCCTAATGAAGCCAATCCTAATGAGTTTCTGCTATTAGGTGTGGCCTATTATGCTAATGAGTTCCTGCTGGGCATGGCCAATTCAGGAGCCAGCCGGAACTCCGTTCCTGTGCGTTCCTGTCCAAAAATAGCCCTGCATGAGGGTGTGATTCTTTTCAGCCCCCACCCTTCTGCTGGGGGGGGGGCATCTGTCTGTCGACTAGGTATATTCCCTATGCTTGTGGGAGCCCCTGCAACGGCTAGAATAGATCCAGCACGGGAAGTAAGTCCATTCAAGCAACTGTTAACCCATAATTTTGAAATTCACAAAACCAAAATAAGGACCCACGGTAAGTAGGAAATACCAAAAATCAGCAAATACTTGTGCTACGGACGATTACAAAGTATCTCAAGTAATTTTATTTTATTTTTTTGTTTTTATATTATTTTTTCTATATTTCTTATAAATTATTCACTATTATATTAATCATCATATAAACATTAACACATAGAAAGAATCATATATCCAAACATCTATGATTCTATATAAAAATTACTTTTTTTAGTTACAAGGGTTTTTTCATTTATTTATATTTTTTTAAAAAATTCGCATACACATATTAAGTGACAATCAAAATACAAAATGATCAAAAATTAAAACAAAAAAATAACAACCTTCTGTATGAAATCCTACAAGATTATCAATTCAAGAATCTACAGTTAGATTACTTGAGATACTTCGAAATCGTCTGTAGCACGGTATTAACCCATAATTTTGAGCATGGTGGATTAGAACCATGCCCTAGCACAATGTTTCATCCATCATACATGGGTGCCAGCAGTGAGATGCTAGAGCAAGATAATCCGGTTTAAGTGAGTGGATTACCACATTCTCCCATAACTACTGCACAGTTGAAAGCTGCAGTGGCCGCTGCCGACGAACAAAAAAGCCAGCCAGACAAGTGGGACAGGACTTACCAAGGAAGTTTCTAGTCAGTGCTAGACAAAGGCTGAGGGGTGGGGAACTGACTTTTCCCAACTGACTACTTCAAACAGATAGTGTCCTCTTTTTTGCTTTTCAAAATACAGTAACCCTAACTAACGACAGTGGGTCAGCCAGCTTCTCATAGTGCCCCTTTTAATGTAAAGTTAAATATGTCCCTACTACCCATTATGTAGCACCTGCTTTTCTGTGCTTTGACCCCATGGGTCTCCGCAGCCTACAGGAAGAGACGGGCTCTCGTTTTAAATACCCCAACTATTTAAGCTGTGATAATTGCTACTAACTAGGAACATTCCTAACCTTCCAACCCAAAAAGAGGACATTTTCATCCTTTTTTTAAAAAAGAGTCCAAAAGAGGACAGACACCTAAAAAAAATAGGACCCATCCTCTAAAAAGAGGACATCTGGTAACCCGGTTAACCCTATGTTAGTAGATGCAAGTATGACATACCTCTTCAGTTACATATATTTTCCCTAGGATTTTAATGAATGAGGACATGACCAAGCAATAGCTAAGCATTTTTTAGCACCGCGGGCTTTGATGGGACAGTGAAGCAGATGCTCAGTTCTTTGCCATGTAAGTCAGTGGGATGTAAGAAAATTTACCTCAGCTGGGTCATGACCTTTTAAACGCTCTCTTACAGTAAATGTCACCTCTACGTTTTCATAATGTCTGTGGATAATCCGTCAGCATTACCACAAGAAGGGCCACCGAAAAGATAAAGACAAGCATCCTTCAAGAATTACAGCCTTTCTGTTCTAGCTGTTCACTGTTGTACCTAATAACATGCACACGTTGGATATCACGGTGCCAGGGGCAGTGCAGGTCTTGCTGGTGTGTGTTTTCTGTGGTGACCCTTGCCGCTGTACTTGGTAAAAATTTGTCAAATAGAATGCATGAGTCCATGTTCACCCACAGTATAACCTCACAACGGTGTATTTTTCATATAACAAGTGTGACATAAAATGTTTCAGTGTATGAAGTAAAGACACGTCGTTTAAATTATGCACACGAGATTCACAGCAGACCTCACTAAAGCAATATCAGTTGGGTTTGTGCCAGGCCTATGGATGGAGCCTAGGCGTATTTAGATGGGAAAGGGAATCTCAGATTTCTGTCTTGGCTTCTCTCAGACTCGCTGGGGAAGCACAGGAGTTGCCTCTGTATGGTCTGTGAGTATGTAGCACATAGGTCAGACAAGAGAGAGGGTTCCTCTCCCTAACAGGACTCTCCCCATCCAAGGATAGATTATTCTGGCAGCAGAAGGGGCTATCACATGTCCATGTGATAGCCCCTTCTGCTGCCAGAATAATCTATCCTTGAGTTTCCCCTTCCCCTATGTCATTTACCTAATTCAGAGAGTCTCTCAGGTGCACAGAGAGAGTTAACATCACAACATCGTATAAGAATCAGTCTAGGGATCCCTTCTGCTGTCATGTTAGCGGTATGGCAGGCCATTCCAGGGGTCAGAAGGGGAGGTGGTCTAGGATGTGGCTTCTGCCCCACTCTGCCCCTAACTTCAGCCCTCCTAGGAATGAAGGGCAGGGCGCCCCCCAGCGCTACGATTCCTCCACGATTCCTCCTCTTGTGATACTGCTAATGTACATTCTTCAACAGGTACTGTTGACTCCAGCCTCCTACTGGAGAAGTTATAATCATCAAACTGACTGCCAAACCACATGTACACAGACCAATATTTTACTCTTTGGCAGCTGTGTAGCATTTTAAAGTGTTGAATAAAAGCATTTTGGGTAACGGGGTGAATAGCACAGGATTTTTACAAAGATACGTATCAAGTCCAAGGTTTGGACAGTTTCAAAAGCCCGCAGAAGTGCAAGGTTTCAAGATGGATGGGAATCAAATTTCAGGCACATTAGGTCCAGGCATTTCCCATGAAACACGACTTCTGCCACGGAAAACGATCCTCCCCCCCCAATTTAATATTAAACCCATGACAGTCCTGGACAGTTTAACTCTTCTATAGGGGTGTTAACTATGCTGTATCGAAATTACAGTAGAAAATAGGCTTAGCATCATATATGCACACAA